CAGAGAATAAACACTTGGGCCTTCAGACTCAATAACATCAGGTCAGTATAAATGCATTCTCTCGCTCCAAAGCAACGGTTCGAATTCGATCATTTGCGAATGGCTAAAAGAAAAAACGCAGAGAATAAAAAATTCCTTATTACTATAATATTACGAAATTTTATTTGGTAATGTGTTGAAGGTTCTTTATACTTTTCTTCATAAGGGCGCATCAATATTTCCCGTTAAGCAACTGTAATATATACCTTAAAAAAAAAGTAGAAATGGTTTTTTTTTTTATAATTTTTTTATTTTATTTTTTTATACAATTTAATATATTATTAAAATAATTAATTTTTTTAATTTATATAAAATTGATCATATTAAATATATTTATTTATTTTAATAGCACGTAACTATTTTATAAAAAGGTGGAACAAAAGGATGTCCACGTAGCACCATCCAAAGAAAGATGGGACAATATTCAAGCGGTTTCCACGCGTCAATAGACTAGGCCGCCACCTGTATTGTTCGGACACCTGCCCGTCAGATACTAACGGCCGTCAACCTCACTTATGTAACCCAATTCCCGTTCCCGTTTGTCTCTTTCCCACTAGCTCCGCTTCCGGTTTCGGCTTTAATCCAAAGCACCAGGTTCGTTTCCCAACCTCTGGACGGCCAAGATTAGCCACATCGAATCCAACGACTGTGATTAAATCCATAGTCCGTACCTCCGCTATTAATGGCACGGGAAAGGGGTTTCTTCCTCAGGAAAAGTACAATTCAGGGGATTAGCTTTTATGTTTGGAAACGCGTTTCGAAACGCTATCTCAAGGGTCTGTTTGGTTTGGTTTGGTTTGGTTTCATTTCAGTGAGACTGAGAAGAGAGGGTCTGCGCCATGGCTGATCACGAGGAGAAGAAGCACGAGGAATCGTTGATGGATAAGATAACTGACAAGATCCACGACCACGTTTCTTCATCGTCGTCGGATTCCGAGGACGAGAAATCGTCTCCGTCAACCGTCAAGTCCAAAATCTACCGTCTCTTCGGCAGAGAAACGCCTGTGCACAAAGTTCTCGGCGGAGGCCAACGTACGTTATCAACAACTATACATTTTTTCTGAAATTATTGTCGTTATTTTTGTTTTATTGCTAATCTATTTAGATGTTCTCCCTGTTCTGTTGTTCATAAATCTGGGAAAGAGATACGAAAACCTGAAATTAGGATTTTAAATCTGACTTAAACCCTAGCCCTGGGTTTCAGATTTTGTTCCTTGTTGTGGTTTAAGATCTAGATCTAGTTTCCTTGTAGATCGGGCGAGTTGTTTTGATTGATTGTATGCAGCTTAATTTTAGTTTTGAATTTTTTTCTCACCTTTCCTAATTAATGCTGGTTTTGTTTTGATAAATTGTTAATTTTCTTGATGTTTTAACTTACTTGATGCGATTGATAGTTTGGTACTTATGAAGGTTCCTTTTAATCTGACTGTATCTATGGTAGCTGCTAGGTGAATATGATGATAATCACTTGATGGTAGCTGATTTACCTTTGATATAAATCATTTTCTTGCGTATACTTATAGCAAATTCGAACACATGTACATTATTGAGCATTTTATTATCAATTAGTAAGAATAATCGTTGGCTTTGAGATCATAATAGTGTAGTATGGTATTCCACTGAAAGACTGGCATCTATGCAACAGCTGCTGATATTTTCCTGTGGAGGAACAAAAAGATCTCTGCTGGAGTCCTTGGTGGCGCAACGGCAATATGGGTTCTGTTTGAATTGCTTGAATACCACCTTCTCACCTTGATATGCCACTGTTTGATACTTGCACTGGCTGTACTTTTCTTGTGGGCAAATGCCACCGTGTTCATCAACAAGTAAGCCCTCGGTGTTTCTGAAATTTTATTTTTTTGGTTTACATTTTCATCTGCTGGGTTTACTTAAGTGTTAAATCCTTTTGTTCAGGTCAACTCCACGCATCCCACAAGTTCACATCCCTGAGGAGCCAGTTCGACAGTTTGCAGATGCACTGAGGTTTGAGATTAATCGGGCTTTTGCTGTCTTGCACGATATTGCATCTGGAAGGGATCTCAAGAAATTCCTCTCTGTAGAACCTTTTTCTTTTACTTAGTTGTTGTTCTTTCTATTTGATCAAGTGCAATTAACTTCTTAGCTTCCAGTGCAGCCAATAACTTGTGGGAATATTGGTTGTTTAAATATTGGAATATACTTATTTTCTTAAGTAACTGTAATTTGCTTCCGATTTATGTTTTTATTCATTTGATCATTTGGTAATGATATTACTTTAATCAGGTGATTGCAGGCTTGTGGGTCCTGTCTATTGTGGGCAGCTGTTGCAATTCCTTGACCTTGTTCTACATAGGTAATGGAATTATTCCCTGCTTGTGTGTATCTTTATTTTTGTGAGCTTATATTTTTTTTGCTGAGGTTTCTGGTTTTGTAAAATAGTTTTTGTACTGTTTCACACGGTGCCCGTGCTCTATGAGAAGTACGAGGACAAGATTGACCCATTCGCTGAGAAAGCAATGCGTGAGATCCAGAAGCAGTATGCAGTTTTTAATGCAAAGGTTTTAAGTAAGATTCCAAGAGGGCCATTGAAGAGCAAAAAGACGGCATAAGATGACTGGCTCTGTGTGGATGTGTTGAAGTGAGGTGTTGTGAATTCTGGGCCAGTTGCCCAGTGTCAGCTCCAACCCTCTTTTATCTTTTGTTCGTAGGATTGGGTTCTCAACTCAGATAAAATATGGTTTATTTCTCATACTTGTTTTTCTTAGTTACATTATAGCCATGTTGGGAATCTAGCTGCTATGAAAGATATGGTGATATGTTATAACATTTCATGTTTATTTGTTGCTACTGTATTGTACATTGGGTTTCAAGTTAGCAGTTGTGCGTTGGTACACTGTCGGAATGTACTTGCTAAGTTGTTTAGGGATTATGGAATGGTTGACATTGCAATTTCAAGTCTCAGAATATCCCCTGCTTGATGACTCTTGTCCTCTTCATCTTCTTTTTTAGTTGTAATGTCTTTTGTGTTGTTTCCAGCCCCAGCTGTTAGTTCTCTCCAAGTAATAACAGAAGAATAATACGGGATTCAATGTGCATGGGGCACTCGCCTTATCCTTCAATCTCTCTTTGCTTTATTAGTTCTCTAACTGGCCGATTAGCAGCTGTTGTGAACAGGTTCTGTTCTAAGCGTCGGTTATGATAGTCATTCACTCCTTTCTTCACAAGGAACAATCCGATTAGAACAGAAACTACAAACCTTAAGGTCACTTCAGCTGTATCTTTCAGTGCTGCACATTCTCGATTAACACCCTCTTCCATCCAGGAGAGTTCTCAAAATCCCTTCCCGATTCTCCCAGGATGGAAGCCACATCATGATTCTGTTAATCAGCAAGGGTAAGTACGGACGAACTGTGGTCTTTTGATCAAATTTACTCTATATATCCGAGCAAATTCTCCAGCGTTTGGGGAATTGTATTAGATCTGAGATGGTAATTTTAGGGAGCCTTCATTGATGGAAAACACCTGTTTGGTATCACTTAACATCTTAAACAGAACTACATTAGTTCATTATCATTTGTTCTTGCCTGGATCATTTTAAACAGAATCTAGATCATCACAAGCAACACCGTTTGCTGAAAGTACCTCCATGATGTGGTTTCCATTAACTATCCGGTGCTTGGATCATCCTCCTGTCCTCCTTCAGTTGATTTTTCTAGCTGACAAGATGGTTATCGTCTTTATGGGGGCCCTGATTTCAATATTGTATGGGAAAATGGCAGTTAGCCTTTCTCTTTGTAACAACCCGAACAGGTAGTTTCTATTCATAGGTGGACAAATCTTTAACTACATTAAAGCTATAAAACATTTCACTGCTTCATAAATAATGTTCTTAAACTCAAAATATAACTAGCTAGCATATAACCGTAAGTTCCAAAATGGATTTGATAAGCATACAAACCACAAGCTCGGCTTGATTTAGATCAAATTCCAGAGCTTAATAGAACATAACAGCATATTTACATAGTCAACAAAAGAAACAGTTCTCTCTTCTTCTTCTTCTTCTTTTTTTCTTTGCCGAAAACTATATTTTGTACACAAAAGAACTCTTAGGGTGATCAACTTGTTTACAACTAGCTGTGAGCCATGACAAAGTTTTGGTAAGAGAACAAGTTTGTGTTACCAACTCAGCTGCCAAGCTGTGTCTTTGGTTGGTTGAAGTACCCTAGGCTTCCTAAGTAATTATAAGTTGCTATATAACATACTAACCTGTGACAACAGGGAAAAAAACAATATTTCCATGAGCTATAAGGCTTAATAAGTAACTAATAGCTTAACAACCTATAAATATTCAAATTTGTCAAACCAGAAAATGTTCTTAATAGTGTTCAATAAAGTTCTCTGCACATTTGATGATAAAATTTCACTAGAAACTTGTTCACTCCAAGCACATGCTTACTTGGTCTCCATTATAGAATAAACTAGAAAAATATGTTCCTTTACCTTAGGAAGCATAAAATCAGTTCCGTCAAACACTGCTCTTCAATATTGAATGGTTTCTTCAGTGTCATAAATAAACATGACATAAATACTCCCAATAACATAGGATAATAGCAAGGCAACCTCATGCTTGTTCAACATGTAGATGAATGCAAGTTCTTAGCTATGGATTTTTTTCCTTGTGGGTGAACATCCCACCTTACAAATGGCCCAACCATAATTTTTGTGATTTGCAAAGGATTTAATAACATCTCTTTACACTCCCAATCCAACTGGGTTTCATATTCCTAATCCAACTGGGTTTCCAACTAGCTCAACTGCACCAACAATTAATTCACTAGAAAATTTCCACAAGAACAAAGAAAATGCAGAAGTTACCCAGACCATTTCAAAGATAAGTTAACTGTAAGTTTCCATCCTTAAATTTCTGCTTAAACTTCAAGAGAACTTAATTTAACTTAATTTTGTTAAGTTTAAAAGTTAGTTACCTCAAATTAAATGAGGTTGGACCCAAAACTCCTCCAAAACTCCTCCAAAACTCTCAGTTTTCTTGCTGCCCTTGCTGCAAGGCCAACACTCCTCTATTTTTGTTTTGTTCGTCTGGTGCCAGCACAGAAGAAACGATGAAATTTGTTTCGGTCTTACCCCTCTAAAAGCATCCTAATTCTGACCAAAATTAGTGGGATTTTAATGCATCCCACTATACTTGTCTCACTACTGTGCAGTCACATGCCAAGCGTACATTTACATGTCATTAGTCTATCAAGATATTTGTTTGGTAAACATTGTTATGAAATTGTCCAGCCCGTGGTAGTTCAGTAGTCACCCACTTGAATGTGTGGGTTAAAACATTATGTTTTGGGTTTTATACTTAGAAGTTACTTCCCCTTCTTAAATCAATTTCCTTTGTTCAAAAAAAAAAAAATGTTCGAAAAAAAAATAGTTATGAAATCAGTCCCTAAACCGTACAAGACCTCAATTATTAAGTTTCTAACATTTAAGGACTAAACTTTCAATATTTTTACATTTAAGGATAAGGATGTTTCACATTTGGCCTTTCATTCACCTCTCTCATTGCTACCCTGATCTACAACTTGTGAGCCGAGGATCAGTACACGTCCAGAGGGTTTGCTCAGCAGTTTTTGAAACAAGTGAAAATATGCAGTCTTACCTACGCACTACAGATGGCTCTCAGGCTCTCAGCCTCTCACATGCACCGTACCGCATCATTAGGTTGTGGCATTTGTTATCTGATATCCATATTAAATCAAGAAGTACAATATTTCCAACATAAATCATTAGTCATTATACCAACGATCTGTTGATCCGAATAAAAAAAACTCAATTCTCCTTAAGTAAAATCTCGAGTTTGAATCTTGTAAATAGAGAAATAAACGTTGAGAGAACCCCTCCCTAATAAAATTCGATGCAACTTGATTTCGAATTAATCAGAATCCAATATAGTTATCAAATACCGAGATTAGTCATTACTGAGGCAAAACAAATGTGAAAATATATAATCTTACTTTCTTTGGTTTTTATTATTGTCCGTGGGATAATCAAATACAAAAACAATTCTCCTAGTAATCACAGGATCAGATGACCAATTATCAGCATGAAGTTAATTATCGCGTTTGGAGGGGGAAACTGTACAGATTGAATCAACCTATTGAAGAGCTACTTAGGAAGCTAAGGAGCTATCTCATTAGACCTAAGAATACAAAACCATTCCAGAGGCTATGCAAGAGCATGGGTGGCAGAAGATTCCTTGACCGTGCATAAACAACCCCCATTACAATTCCTAGGAAAATAAGCGGTAGTATTGTCTGTACATTAAAATGTGCCAGAGCAAAGGCCACTGAACTCACCAGTATGGCACACCATACAGGTATGTATTTTGTCAAGGAAGGGAGAAGAAAACCACGGAAAACTATTTCCTCCCATATTGGAGCACAAACTGAAACTACCGTTGCACAAATTGCCATGGCGACTGGATCCCTTGCTAAAATTGACTGCTCAACACTTGAAGGAGCTATTGCTGTAGCTGGCATGAGGCGCAACAAATGGAGGTTGAACTGTGATAGTTGGTTGACCAGGGGAAACATGAAGCATCCCAGCACAACCTCTAACTGCCAGTTTCCACTCAAGCTAAACCTAAACCAGTCAGATGGAAGGGGATGAAACTGAGATAGGCAGCAGTGGAGTATTGCAATTCCAGCAAGGCCTTCAGTTACATCAGTCACAAGACTGAACAAAGCTTGCCCTCTGAATGTTAGAGATCCCTTGTTGAAACCTGCCATGTGAGCTGCAAAAGGAATCATCCATGACCCTATCAACCAAAATGCAGCCACCCACAGAAGCATAACCTGTGTCAGGATATAAAGAGTTTATCACACTGCTACCAAAACATTTGCACTTGTAAAAGATTGGGGATAAAGTAAGAGGACATATTAGATGGTTTGATCATGATGTAGACCTAGAACTAGGGGTGCTCTGGTAGAAGAAATAACGAGGGCTAGAGAGACCAAATAGTTGATGGCTGAAAGTGATAAGAAAGTAAAAAGAAACCTGCAGTATTGTTTCTGCTGACCATGGTACAGTCCAACGGCTCCCTATTGCCCTCAATGCTGTATCTGCAGCCTGCAAACATGCGTAACTAATTCTTTGAAGCATTCCTCAACAGATTCTTGCAAAGAAAAATGAAAACAGTATCAGGGTTACTGATCCGTCAATTTCATTTTCTCTTTGGTTTATCAGCCCATAGGCCAACAATATAAACCACCATAAAAAGTTGGTTGAAAAAAATAAGTCCTAGAAAAAATGAATTGCATGGAAAAATCACATTAAAACATATGCCACAGCCAGAAAAAATGGGAAAAAAGAAAAGAAAAGGATGGTTCTTTACCAAATGCATGAACAAGAGGAAAACTTCAGATCCCCATACCCCACACCCCACTTCATTATCAGCTTTTAAATCAAATAAACTCTCAATCTATTCGGCATCAGTGATCATGTTTAAGGTTAAATTTCTCTACGAATGAGGATATGTTAAATGACCAACAAGAAATAAATTGTGCACATAAAATTAGTTGGAAGCAGCATATTTTGGAGTCAGAAAAATAGCCATTGTAAAGACAAATTAAGTTGAATAGTGATATTACCTCTAGGAGACTTGATTTCCAATCTCTTTTGCCAGAATTTGACTTATCAGTATCTGGTTTTACTACTTCTTCAGGCAGAAAATGCTCAATGCATTCAGATTGTGGATTTTCTGAAGGAAAAATCGCATGCCTAAAGCATGAAATTTTCCTTTTCTGCAAATGAAAGAAATCCAAAATATAACATTAACGACCCACTGGTAAGCCATGCATGATCCCATATAAGAAAACAACTTATCAAATCTATGGCATAACCATGTAAAAAGAAGCCATCAGATTCAACCCTATCTAAATATAGAGGTAGTCAGAACTAATTTGAGTTTACAGTTCTCTTTCAATCTTCATTTTTTCAACAACCAAGCTGGAACCCAATAAATTCTGAATCAACTTCTAACAGAAGAATGCATCAAAATTTAACTCTAAATTAATCCAAGAAGTTAAAAACAAAAAAAAAACCAGCATTGAACAAAACATCATTAAACATGATTATAGACTAATAAGAAACCATCAAAACGGTTATAAACTGTTAAATCATCAAACAATCCAGTAAGTTGTTTTGGTCCATTTTGAAGGCCAATTCTTGTATTTCATTTCCTCCATATTTTTCAGCAAACAAAGAGAATTAAAAAAAAAAAGAAAAAAAGAAGCCCCAAACTCAGACACATACAAGTCTAACAAAGCTTAAAAAAGTAAAAAAAATAAAAAGAGAGAATCTTTACTAAATTTACTTACGCTTTTGGAGGACTTAAAATTGGACTCGACGATCCGAGAGCTCTGGGTCAATGACGAGCTCCCAGGTCTCAAAACCCTAAACTTTGTGATAGAAGGTGCAAGAATTGGGCGTTGAGAAAAGGAGCAAGAGCAGGCGGAGCTCAACATGAGGTCCGGTTTTGTAAAACCCTAATCACCAGCATTAACCAAGTAACATTAAATTAAACAAAGCGAATTGAATTGAAGTTCTACACTTTGATGACTGATTTGGGCATTGCGAATTGAAACCCTAATTCGTGAAATTAAAGCAGTTACTGTTGTAGGAGCGATGGAGATTTCCTGTTGGAAAAGATGTGGTGTATTTGGAAACCAATTCCTGGCTTCCAATTGTTGTGGGAATTAGAATGATTATAATCCACGGCTGGCTTAGGCAAATACCATGTGAGGAAAGTGTGGAGCTTGATTTTTGTATTGATTGATGTAATAAATTTAATCAATTTATTAATTACATAAAATTCAATAATAATTAAATAAATATTAATAAATATAATTTTTATGATATTAAATTAATTTTAAAATTAATATACATAATTTACATTGACAAAATATTAATTATATAATGAGTTTTTAAATACGTACTCTAACAACAAAAATGACACCTTCTACCGTAAAATGCCAATGGTGAGATGTAAATATATAGGTTTATCAAAATATATCATTTAAGAAATGAATACATATAAGCTTAGTTTTCAGATTTAAGTAATTCGTCTTAAATCTTAGGATTTAAGACGCTTAAGTTAATTGATTAGAATTTCAATCCTTACCAATGCCTTGAAAATGCCCTTCCCATAATTCCCTAAATTGTAAACTGTTCAAAAAAAAAAACATATAATGTGATAAGTGAATATAAAAAATAAAGAGAATTAATCACGTAAAAAAATTGGCACATTGTAAATTTATAATAGTTAATAATATTGTAAATATATCACTTCCGTATTTTTTATAAGAGTATTTGATGATATATTTGGAAATTGTCTTTTAAATTCCATTAAAAGGGACTAATTATTACCATATAATTTTCTTTGATAGATTGGGAATTCTTTTCCAATTCTATAATTAACAAAGCAACTGATGGAAGACAATAAGGGAGGAGACAAGCAAGTTGTACTCCCACTTATTTGCGCCTTCGGTTTGGAACAGGTTCTGGGTTTCCTTTTCTCATCATGGCCACGAACTCGTCATAATTGATTCTACCATCCTGCAAAGAAATGGCAAAAACATTGTATGAGAAGAGGTAACAACAATGATACATTGAAAAGAATAGCAAAGATTTTAAGAACAAAAAACTGTTCTGCAATTT